ACTGAGTTAAGCTTGGGACATGCTTAAGCTCAACTCATTTAAGCAAGTGGGCCCCCTCCCAGCCACTCATTTCTCCCCTCATGCCACCCCTTCTATTGTGCTAGCACAAGATCTGACATAGAGCTGGAAAGGGAAGCACAGCAGGGAACTGGTCCAGCCAAAAACCAGTCCCACAGCGAATAAAAAGCAGCCCGTTGTTTGATTCAGTTAATTTGAAGCTATATAAATACGCACTTTTTGACAATGGAGAAGGTGGCACATACGGGATATGAGAGCTGAAACTAGGTGGGGAGGAGGAAGGGGCTGCCAGGGCTCAAGGTGGCACTGCCTTCAGGAGCAAACTTACGTCCTCACCGACAGCTGAAATACTCTTGATGGTTTAGCGCTAGCATGTTCAAATACAAGTGTAGTCGAAGTATTCACTTTTATAACAATGTATTTTTAATATATTCTCCAGGGCAGTACATTTTCTGTCTTCAGCTTTGAATAACAAATATGCTGAATTGTATTTTCTCCATTAACTGAAAATATTAGATAGAAGTCCCCTAATAAAAGCATAAATTCTTAGAATTTTTTGATACTCTGATCTCTCCGATACTCAAATCAAGATTTTTCCACAGACCTGTTGGCTACAAATATCATTATACACAAATGTAAATACTCTGAATTAACAAGTTGCCAATAAGCACTTACATGTATATATATATATTTTTTTTAACATTTGAAACATCTCCTCTGAAACTGAAAAAGAAGCTTGACAGTTTTTGCGAATTTTTAAAGTTCATTCCAGGTCTTTATGAATTCCCTCTTTTTAACTTTCAGTAAATCCTGAAAGCTAAGATCTAGGTTGGCTACTTACAAAATTATTGTCTGAGTCACAGCCCACACCACTGCCAAAATGAGGAAAACAACAACAGAGAGAGGTCCTCCAAAAAACAGGAATAGCAAATCACTTAAAAATGTAAGTCAGAGCATGCAGCAAGTCTTTTTCTTTCTGGCTACGCCTTGTGCAACATGAGATGCTTACACCTCCATTCTCAAAGATCCTTAAGTGCTTTTACACTCTAACAGTGCACGTAGCACAGTCAGGAGATGCAAAGGAACTACGTTATGATGACTGAGAAGTACAAATTTGTTAAAGGAAACAGAACTCTAAATGAAGTATTTTTGCTTCCCCTTCACTGTATTTCAAGTAACAGCAAGACTTCTAGATATCATAACTGCCTTTGGGGTTTTTTTCAGGCCTGCTTTCATTCTGTCTCCACAGTAAGTAATTTTTACCATGGTCAAAACACTGAAACACCATCATTTCTCTCTCCTGCGGATGTTGTCCCATTCGGGGGAGAATACCCCTGTCCTTGGGAGTGACCAGCCCCAGGCTGCCTCAGCACCCACCCCTTCTCCCCATTCACAGCAGACAAATTCCTCCTGTCACTCCAGGCCTTTTCTTCAATAGTCCCATGCTGTTCCCCTGCATGCTTCTAACACATCACCATAAACACTCTCCCCATCTACTTGCAAGCCGTGCTGTCTTGTTTATGCCTTAGTACCTTTGATTTGTTCTCCTATACTCCCCTTGATCACTTTTCCCGCTACTTCAGTCATTCTGGTTTTCTCTGCCTATGTACAAGTAGACCCACTCTTAAGCTCTCCTGCTGTGCAATCCACGCTCTTTTTGAGCCTTGGTCTGGACGTTCATACACATGAACTCCGAGGCACTGGGGTTTGTTTCACAAGAACAGGAAAAAACATTAATTCGAGTTGGAAAGGTTAACAAACTTTCCTTTGAAAGGTTACTACAGCACAGCTTATAATTGAAAAACAAAGGTATTCCAGGGTGTTTATAAAGTTAGACAGTACACATAAATACCCTCATTCCCAGTTCCTCCATTTAACTTCTGTAGTTGGCAGGTCCACTTACACTAGAAAGTAACTTTTTTGGTGAAATGTTTTTGCATCAAGTTTAGACCAATACAGTGTAAACAGGGGATCCTGACCCTGAGCAGGAGTCTCCATAAATCACCCTTAGCCCTTCGCTGTATTCAGGAATGATCTCTTAGTCTGCAGAAGTCACCTCCTCCTTTTCAGCAAGGTCTTTAATCTAGGCTTTGCTGTGCCACTGCAGTCCTTCCAGCATAGAGGCTGGCTGTACTTCGTACGCAATCCGTGCTCCGAGTCTGTGCCGTCGTGAGCTAATCACCCAGGCCGACAGCTCTCCCAGCCAAGCTGTCATTCTCACTCCGGTCTCACAGGCGTCTACAGGACATTTTATCCACTCCTCCAGCCATCCCCTCCATGCCACCTTTGGATTTGCTTCCTACTGCACAGCTCTAATCCTGCCCCCCGCCAGCCTTCGCCACTCCCTCCCACTCAGGATCTCCTCTCCCACTCAGCCTTCCCACTCCCCCAGTGCCACAAGACTCTTCTGCCAACTCCCCCAGCACCCTCCAGTTCTCCCTCACTTCTCTTGGCTGCTTTTCCCAGTCCAGCCATAGCTGATACCACAAGGGATAACCTGCGTGTGAGACCACTGCTGTGTGCAGTGTATTAACGTCCCCCAGCTCTTCCTCGACAGCACTTGACTCACTACTTCATCTCTAAGATGATCATTATAGTTAAATATTTTGTCTTTTGAAGACTCTTATGATCACCTTAGCACTGATGCCAGTGCTAGGAAGTGTTAAAACACCCATCCCGCTTACTCTCTGAACTCTTACACACTGAGCTTCGGTCCGAGATGGGATGGGGAATGTGGAATAAATCCTAAGAAGGGGGAAGCTCTGAATTAACTGAAACGCTGGAGTGCATTCATGTTTCTGTGGTCTTTTTGGCCCCAGTGTTGTTCAGGACTTGGTTGGCCTCAGCATCGTACAAGAAAACACAGGACTGAGCAGTTACGGAAAAACACTAAAGGCCCAAACTGCACCTGAAGCAGTCGGTGCCCAGGGAGCCGGCGGCCGGCTCAGGACTGAGGTCTGCTGGTGGGGTCGTTCTCCACCACTGCAGAAACACACACCGTCTACCAACCACCAGAAATTCCAATGCACATTTAAAACTGAATAAATGCAAAGCAGCTCATACAAATTTAAATAGTTACAGTGGAGATTCTGAACTGTATTAATTTCTCTAAATAGTCTGGCATTAAAACTCGATACCCCTCATAATCCCCAAGAAACAAGAAGAGATCAAAACTCAACTCCAACAGCAACATACGTGTGAAAGCCCTGGACCAAACCCTCAGCTCCTGGCTCCTATTCTCAACCCCACCACCGGCACATGAGGTGACAGAGTATTTCAGTTGGAAGGGACCTACAATGATCACCTAGTCCAGCTGCCTTAGTTGCTGATCTAAATCGCTTTCCTCCCTCCACAGCTCAGTAGGAAATAGCATTACTACCCTCTTTGATAAAGTGAAAACTGCTGGGAGAAAGTACGGCTAGGTTTTATTTTTTAGTCGTTTTCTCCAGCATTACATACGAGGATCCATTCCTCCCCCCATTAAAAATCATGCACTTAACAAACATTTAGACAGCTGGTGCCTGAGAGTCAAAGCCAGTTGTTCTCTCAAAGGCCAAACTGCCTCACTGAATTGATGTCAGCTGGTACTTAGTAGGATTTTTAAATTCAATTAAATTAAGAGACAAGCTATGCAGATTAGGGCTATACTAGAATCAGAAAGGAATCTTAAAAGGCATAAAATGTCTTTACATTTATTAAGCAAACTCTGCAGTCTTTTCTTGTTATACTCTTGTTGAAAAACAGAACATTCAGAAAGTATTATGAAAACAAGAAACAAAAAAACTAAGGTTCACATGAGCCACACTCCCCCTTCCCCTCCCCGCCAAAGCAATGGGACTATCTTCACACCCATCCCACTTTTAACTTTCCAACACAAGCAGCAAGGCACCATTTACAGCTAGGCTGAAAAATGCAGTCTTCAACGCACATTGCCATTCTGCATTCCTAGCAACCCACCACAGCCATTCTTCCCTCGTATATTAGGGTAAGTGGGTTATATATACCCACGTAGGTACAGACAGTAAAAGAAAGGCCAACGTCAGTTGTACAGTTCTGCTAGGACTTCAAGTCTGGAAAATGACCACTCTGCTGGGAACTCCTCGGTTATCCCAATAAAATCCCTTTCCCTTTGCGCACACCAGTCCAAGTCTGCACGGTTTAACCCGGCTTACGTGCTCTCACCCCTGGGATGCACGTTCCAACAAAGCCAAGCAGCAGAGGACCAGGGCAGCCAACTCTGCCCTTACAGCAGAGTCGGACAGCAAAGGATTAATTTGGGGATTATGAACAATTATGCTCTTGCACATTAATCGCTGTGATCTAAAATTTTCACATGAAAAAACAACACGTGGAAATATTAAAGCACTCATCTTACGGACATGGATCCGAGAACTGTTTAATAGCAGTCAGTGAAGGGGTAACATTGTGCTTTTAATCTACAGTTTAAAAATAATGATTTGTATATCTACTTAGTAAAACAATAAAATTAAGAACAGAAACTGGTATTAGGAAACAGTGAAAATGTAATAATTAAACACATGATGCTTTCCAAAGCTATATACTTAATGAGCCTAAATAGACACCTATGGTTAGGAGGGTCTTGAAAAAAAAAATACTAAAAAAAGAGACTTATTTTCAATTTTTTTTTTTTTTTTTTCAATTTTTGTCTACTATACTGTATGCCTTGCTTTGGTATTCTCTCTGCTGCCAACTTAATGCTTTAGCAGAATGTTTACGCTTATGTTCTTTTCAAATGCTTGGCATTATAGTGAGATCTCATATCTTTCCTCAAATTAAATTTTGCTCCACATACTCCACATGTATACAGATGAACATCCATGTGCTGCTCCAGTTGCTCATTATTTGGGAATATCTGAAAGCAGACCTGGCATATAGTCTCTCCAGCTGATAAGTGAGATATCATATGCCGTACATGGTCATGTTTTCGGAAGTTTCCTTGATCACAAATGGAACAGACATACCTGGCCATGCCTTTGTGCATATCATTGTGGAGCCGCAACTGGCGCTCTCTTAAGAACTGCTTCCCACATGTCTGACAAACAAACTGTTTTTCCTTGGTATGAACGGTATAGTGTTCCCGCAAGTGGCAACGCTGATAAAATCCTTTCCCACAAAGATTGCAGAAATGCTTACGTCTGTGATCCCTCTCGTTCTCTTCCATCATGGAGTTCTTGAACAGATCTTGCTCCAGGCAGTTTGACATATGTTCAACCACCAGGTTTTCAGTTTCAAAACGCTGACTGCAATTAGGGCATCGGAAAGGACAGGCAGAATGCTTGTATAACTGTTTTTTTTGAAGGCTGTTCATTTGGAAGTGACTGTCCCTGAAGTCCTCTAGCATCTCTGCAAACATCATGTCCCTTATTTCCGACTGCTCCTCGGGGTTTTCTTCCAAGTCCATTTTCTCCTCGGAATTTCTGATACCGTTCATGGTCAGATCCTGGGGTTCTCCACAGGTCTGCGCATGATCCTGTAACTGCTTGCCTTTGACGAGTATTTGACCACACTTGCCACAAGCACATATATTTTCTATGTGTTTGGATAAATAATGAGAGGACAAATCTTCCTCAGTGATTGTTAGCCCACAAAGTTCACAGGGAGTGTTCTCCACGTCTTCCTGCACTGAAGGGGCCTTCCTGCTAAGGTGCCGCGGACTTTTCAAACACTTTCTTTCATCCTCATCCATGGATAAACGGGGTTTTAAAGTCTTCCGAGCATTTCTCTTCTCTCTGATCTCTTCCTCGACATAGTATCTGTAAAGCGGCTCTTCCTGTTCATCATCTAGGTCGTCATTGTCGGAGGACTCATTGCAGTCTTTATCTGTCACCTTAATAATATTAAAATCCTTCAGCTCATCTGCAGGATTGTCCTCTGGTTCCATCTTGATGATAATCCTCTTCCTCTCAGAGGCTCTACTTCCTTCTTCACCTGATGTCTCGGAGGCAACCGTGCTGCCTTTTCTGCTCGTGATGTTTGACACAGGAGACAAAGAATCGTCCGCAGCTTGGCTCGAATCCCCCTTGTATTTTTCTGTTTGCGTGGAGATTATTTTAGAAGTAGAGTCCTTTTCATTAAAGTCTATTTTTTCAGCACCGTAGTACCTGGCACTTTGGTAGGAATGCCTGTTAGTGCACGTTAACACATGCTCATCCAGTAGCTTTTCACAGCTAAAACTAAACCCGCAGCTGTCGCAGGTGAAGCTTCTTCCAAAACGGCGTGAGTGGGACACACGCTCTTTTGTGTGAGAGAATTTGGACGTGGTGCTTTTTTTGCAGACATCAAACAGTTGTTCAGGGAAGCTGCTTAGCTGCAAAGCTTCTTCATCAGGCTCTTTGTTATGGGATGTATTTACTGTTGAACTTGGCGGCTCCATGCCCCACCTGTTTGCTTCGCTGCCATTTCTAGCAAGCGTGTCTTCATACATTCTCACGCCAAATATCATTTTACTATTCTGGGTGCTAGAAGCAGAAGATGAACATTTTAAACTAGATGAGTCTGTATCCTGTATATCTTCTAGACATTCAGGTACGTTATACAGCTGTAAATAGTTCATGGCCACTTTAAATTGCTCAAAATTGGCAGGGGCTGTCATAATTTTTCCTAAATACATGAACTGTAAAATAAGATCAAAGCATTCAGCGCTAATCTTCATGTTGCTTAGATTCAGCTGGGCTGTAGTGTGTTGATGGTTCATAAAAAACATTCTAAAATAGGAGCTGCACGCAGCAAGGACTGCTTTATGTGCTTGAAAATAAATATCATCGATAGCGATACAGCAGTCGCACAGAAAGCCCCACTCTCTTTGGTTGTTTAGCTGCTGAAGGACGTAGTTGCTGTGGCTGGTTCTTGCCATCTTGTACTTCAATTATAGCCCTGCATAAAGAAGAAGACATCTGTTAAATCATGAGCACAAAAAGGAAAACCTACTTAAAAGGTAGGGAGGAACCGCCACCTTTTTCTTCTCTAGATCTTCCTATTCTCACATTGTTTGTGGTGCAGCTTCCTGTCTGGAGATCTTCGGTGGTAACTAACGAATATTGATGCCAGCGAAACCATCCATAATTCCATGTTCTCACCACCAGGCGTACAAGACTAATAAACTAATAAACATAACCACCACATATGTCAATCAGAGCAACGCTGCTAGAATATGTATTAGGAAATACCTCTCAAAGTCCTACAGCCAAGATTTTCAGATATGAATTCTGAAGGCACAACTTCAAAAACTTCACAGGGTAGACTTCTGTATAAGACGGCCTCAGGACAACACTTATACGAGGTAAGCTGACTGTAAGAAACCACTCTTCAGTCTCAACTTGCCTTTTTCTCCTGTCAGTCCAACGGACATATGATGCAACTCATACTGGAAACCAGGCCAGGCTCAGACTGGTCTTTCCCTCCCCATTAAAGGAAACAAAGAAGGTCCATCAGTGGAGCATCCACACAAGCTACGTCCACACACTTTTTGCTCTTCAGGGCAGCTCAGGGACAGTCTCAACCTTATCTGCAAGACATCTTGCAAACCAGGAACTGCAAACTCAAATGCATTCTCAGAAGCAGAGGGCAGCCCGGCCGCGATGGCACGTCCCACCTACAAGCCCACGGCAGATGGTGACCAGGCTAGCTGGGTGACCGCCCCACGGACGGACTGCTGAGAGGCAGGAAGCGGTGCACGCCGTGCCTCCAACTTGCTCTCAAAACCACCCGTTCAAAGGGCTGTCATATAATCAAAACATGCAGATGGGAGACCGGACAAAATAAAACTGAGCAATGGAGAAGTGCGAAAGCTAGCAAGGCAGAGGTGGAGCCACAGTGAAATGAAGCCTTGACAAAGATGAGAGAGAAAGGTCTGTGAGTGCTGAGGGTTGCTGTGAGTGAAAGGACTAATTTGTCCTCAAAAGAAAAGAGGAAGAAAACATTCTAGTTTATGTTAACAAAAACATCCAGAAGAAATGTATTGGACACAGGAGGTGTGCATTTGATTTACGCAAGATAAACTTAACCAAGTGTGGCCAGATCCAACAGCTAGTCGCTACTCACTTTAGAAAACTTTTACCAGTATACATAATCTGTACTATCTGCACAGGGAAGGCAGTGAGAAACCAAAAGAAGGTATAAAGAACGCCCTAACTGAAATGAAAAACCTAAAGCAATAATGAGCATGCTTAACATTTTGAAAGGTTATTGCAAACAATGCAAGTAACTGTAAGATATTTGTACAAATAAAGTACAGACTAGCAAACAACATATATTAAATGGCATTTTATGACTCAATGAAACGCATGGATTGATTTGCAACCATTCTTTCAACTGTCCAAAATCTAAACAAAATACACATAAAAATGCTCCCCATTTCTTCTTATTTCCCTAACAGCTTACATCTCCTAGAGGCTGGAAAACGGGTGGAGAAATTAAATTCCGCAATTACTGTTGAATTCACAAGTCGAAGGCGTTGCCTGGCTTAAGTAGCAAACCTAACGTTCACAGTTCTTCATTCCACAAAGGACTGCCATGGAAGAAATACATTCAAGCTCTCGAGACAAGAACATGCTCACCCCACCCAGCAATACTCCCTACTGCCAACTCACACAGCAGTACCTATGGTTCACCACCAGCACCAAGACCTTGGCTGGCAACAGGAACCTTCAGATTTGGGTTGAATTGCACCAACCACGAGCATCTGAATGGCAGCTGCTCCCCTCCTCTCAACCCAATCCTCCACACTCAAAGCTCAAGGCGAGCACCCTGCCATAATAATTCTCTGACCACTTTGGCCCAGTGGTGTTCACTGCAGAAATACAACTCGTTGCATGGAATTAATTCAATGGCTTTCTTACTGACTTGCAAAAGGGTAGCTTTCAAAGTAGGAGAATCTCTGAAATGACTTCATGTCTTTTCTACAGAAAATTGATTACTGTCTAAGTCACTGGGTAACTTAAGGTGTTTCTGCAAAATATAGCAAAGCTGTCAACATCAAGTAATAACAAAAGTGCACTTCATATTCTTCCAAGTGCTAACATGTTTTGGATTTGAGGTAATTCATTAGATGCTTAAATGTAATTCACTATACTGTATCAAGTATTAAGAACAGCAGCTGCATAATAACAAAGAATTGACTTCAACTTCCACATTGTAAGAGTGAAAACCAACGAGAAAGTGAGAAGCAGCAGCCTAAGGCACCCCTGGCCTTTTGGTATAAACTGCGATCAAGACAAGAAAAGGCTCAGGACAACTCGTTTTAATCTCCTCATCCTCATAAAGTAGCAACTTTTAAATGTTTTCTTTCTTTTTTTTTTTCCCTAC